AATCACTCTGAGGGCATCATTCAAATCACTTCAAGTGGATCATTTAAATCACTCTAAACAGAACATTTGAATCACTCAGAACGGATCAAATGATTTACTCTGAATAGATCATTCAAATCACTGCGCAGGACATTTGAATCACTCTGAACAGATTATTCAAATCACTCCGAGTGGATGATTTGAATCACTCTGAACAGATTATTTGAATCATTTTAAGTGGATTATTCGAATCACTCTGAGGGCTTCATTCAAATCACTGCGCAGGACATTTGAATCACTCTGAACAGATTATTCAAATCACTCCGAGTGGATCATTTGAATCACTCTGAACAGATTATTTGAATCACTCAGAGCGGTTTAATTGAATCACACTAAGTTGATCATTCAAATCAAAAGCGTAATTGAAAGTAAAACGGAGATGCCTTTTTTCCCCTTCAGTATTCCATCTATACATCATATGGGTCATTAAGAGATGTACAAAGTGTAATTACAAATAATCAGAATACTCTTTTCTTGAAGTGACAGATGCATAGTTCTTTATTCCACCTTCAAGTATACTTCAGCTGAATGCGAGACGCAAAAAAAGTCTTAGGCTGCCCGAAATGTCTATGTCCTTTGATTTTGAGCTTGTTTTGCATTAAATTCTGCCCATTTCAGAATCCCCAAATCCTGAAGGTCTGATTGTGCACCTAGAATCTAAAAAATCAACCAGAGAAACCTCCTGAGTGTGTCGGTTTTTACCCTGAAGCATCAAAAATACCAAGCGGGAGTGTATCAGTGCTGGAAGCGCAGAGGGTTGTTAACAGACTCATTTTTGGCTCTCTGAATATAGACAGATAGCTGCAGTCATGTGGAAAGGGGAAGGCTGATGCCATGGTGGCTATGGCCTGTAATTAAGCCTGCATAATGCACGTTTGACACATGATGTGAGCGTTTGTCCCTGTCACCGCTCTCCGCAGGAGGCTCCACTCACAGCTGCTGGACTCAAGCCATATTTCCAGGACATATTAATGACTTCATCTTTAGCTATGCTGTCATCTAGGGTGTTATGAGCGGTGGTGGACCACGTGCACAAATCAGGCACTTGAGAGTAAAATTGCAGGTGCTCTAATGAAATATTTCTCCAGTAAAAGTATAAAGTAATGCTTTTCAATTTAGCTTGAGTCAAAGAACAAGTTTAGTTGATTTTTATGTACTTAAAGGGATAGTTCACCCAAAAATTACAATTCTGCCATCTTTTACTCACCCTTGACTTGATCCTATTTAGTTTTTTATTCTGTCAAAGACAAAAGAAGATATTTGGAAGAAAGCAGAAAACCTGTACCATTGATGTAGGATGATAGTAGGAAAAACAAATGCTATGGTCAATGGTTCGGCATTCTTCAGTATGGCTTATTGTGTGTTCAACAGGAAAAAAGTATGTTTCAAATCATTTTAAATAAGTCATTGGTGAGAACATAATGACAGATTTTTTAGGAATAATTCTCTTTAGGTATTAAAAGTAAAAGTACTTTGAGAGGATCATTTGAGTTACTCTAAATGGATAATTTAAATTACTCTGAGCGGATTATTAGGTCATTTGATTCATTTGAATCATACTGAAAGCATCATTTGAATCCCTGTAAGTGCATTATTTAAATCTCATTATTTAAAAGAGTATTATTTGAATCACTCTGAATGGATCATATGAATTATTCTTAGTGTACTATTTGAATCACTCTGAATTAAATATTTGAATCACTCTAAACGGATCCTTTAAATCACTGTAAGTGAATCATTCAAATTACTCTAAACAGATTATTTGAATCACTCTGAGCATATTATTTAAATCACCCTGAATGCATCATTTCAATCACTCTGATTGGATTATTTGAATCACTCTACTCTGAAAGGGTCATTTGTGTCTCACTAAATGGATCGTTTAAATCACTCTGGGCAGATTATTTGAGTCACTCTGAGACGATTATTTGAATCACTATGAGTGAATCATTGGAATTACTCTAAACGGATCATTTGAATCACTCCGAGTGAGTCAGAATTATTCTAAACAGATCATTTTAATCACCCTGAGCGGATTATTAAAATCACTCTGAATGAATCATTTGAATCACCCTGAGTAAATCATTCTAATCATTTTGAAGTAATCATTCAAATGATTATAGTATGAGCGGATCATTAAAATCACTATGAGCGGATCATTTGAATCTCCCTGAGTGGATCTGTTGAATCACTCTGAGCAGATTATTTGAATCAGCCAGAGACGATTATTTAAATCACTCTGAGACGATAATTTGAATCACTCTAATTGGTTCATTTAAATCACTCTGATTGGATCATTTAAAAGGCATACTAAGGGGATCATTCGGATCACAATAAGCAGATCATTTGAATCACTCTGAGCCGATTATTTGAGTCACTCTGGGTGGACCATTTGAATCACTCTGAGTGAATCATTCAAATTACTCTAAACAGATAATTTGAATCACTCTAAGTGAATCAGAATTATTCTAAACAGATATTTTTACAAATCATCACTCTGAGCGGATAATTAATCTTTGAAAGCATCATTTGAATCACTCTGATCGGATCATTTGAATCACTCTGAATGAATGATTTTCTCTTTTAAAATAACGTTTTAACCAGTAAAAGGTAGTGCAATAAAAAGTACAATAGTTTGTTTTGGAAGTAATTATAAAAGTCTCCTAAATTAAAAATAATCAGATGAAGTATATTCCAGTACACTAAAGAAGTAAAAATGAGCTTGACAAAAAAAAAGCTTTTGGGTCGCGTGTCAAACCTACAACTCTTGTCCTCTCTCAGGTCAGGGATCAGTGGCATTAGTAAACTCAGAACAGACATGCACAATGAAAGGTATGTATATGCTCAAAACTGTAACCCAGAATGCCAAGCTCGAAAGGGACAAGCTGTTAAAGTCAGTGCACACTGTATCTCTGATAAAAGTGTATCCGTGGAGGTCGTTCCCCCTGGTGTGACTGCCTGATGCCTGCTGTTACCTTGAGCCTTGACTTCAACAATTCCTCTTGCATGGTTAAATTGGAGCTATTTGCAACGATGTGAATGACAATATGATTTTTAAATGTCATCGCTGGTAAAACAGAGTGTCAGTTTGACATGCTGTCCCTCTGGCTGTGTAAGTTTAGTGAGAAAAAAATTATTAGGCACGCTTGTGACTTGCACTGAAGGTTGAGGGAGAAAGTTTACAAGGTCAACACCCTTTCGTCTCGTTACTGTAGCACTGTCGCCTCACAGCAAGAGGGTCGCTGGTTCGAGTCTCGGCTGGACCAGTTGGCATTTCTGTGTGGAGTTTGCATGTTCTGCTCGTGTTGGCGAGGGTTTCCTCCGGGTGCTCTTGTTTCCCCCACAGTGCAAAAACATGCGCTATAGGTGAATTGAATAAGCTAAATTGGTATGTGTGAGTCTGTATGGGCTTTTTCTGGATTGATTTTCAAAACTTTTGTTTGGGTTTAGGGAAGTAGGTGGGTGCAGGTCAATTGGTGCTTTTGAAAACATTATTGGTTGGGTTTAGGCAAAGAGGAGGGTGGCTCAGTCGATCGGACAGTCAGTGAGTCAGTCGACAGTGGCCTCTGGTGGATTTACAAGAGAACAGCAGGCATGGATGGCATTGCGAATGGGATTTTAGATCTCGAAAAGCATACACAGAGGCCTCTGTTTGATTAGCGAAAACAAAAACTGCAAAAAACAAAAAACAAAAAAAAAAGTAGCTCCTGGGACTTATTTGGCGCTCTCCAGAAATGTATATAGGGGTACATAATCAGGGTTGTTATTATTATATTATTATGACCTCCAGAACTGTCCTAAGCACCTGCGCTCCCTAAAATGATCTCAAACCGTTTATTACGTTTAGTTTTTATCTAATTTATTATTATATAAGAAAAAAGGCAGACAGTGGCTTCTCCTGCCACACTAAATTCCAATTTTCTTATTGATATTTGGTGTAACGCAATCTGTAAAAGTATTGCACTACAAAAGAAATGTAAATCAGAAGGATTTAGCACCAGATTGTTTCTGACGTTAACTAGACATTGTGGTAAAGAGTCTCAGATTACGCCAGCAGGTGGCGGTAGAGTAGTGTGGTGAGGTGCTAAACGGAACTCTCACCAAATCTCGAGAGTTAGAGTTGATGCATGCAAAACACAAGTGCTGCTTCTAAAACAACTCATGTTTTTCAGATTAAAACAATCATCTTAAATGTGCAACTACCCACTGTAAGTTCTGGGGAGTGTCACACCAGTTTATCTGGAAGTGTCGATTTTGTTCTCTTTGACTCACTGGATGGAAACGGTGCTTTATTCGCAAATGTTCTGCGCAGAAATCTAACTCACATCTTTAGATGGAATTATAAATACTTATCAATAGAATAATCTTAACCAAATAAAAATCAAATACTTTTTCAACATCTAAAGCAGTGTTTCTCAACCACGGTCCTGGAGGACCACCAACGCTGCATGTTTTGAATGTCTCTTTGTTTGTTACACCCGTTACAGGTCTTTAAATTCAATTTCAATTCAATTCATGTTTATTTCTATAGCGCTTTTACAGTGTAGATTGTGTCAAAGCAGCTTAACATAGACGTTCTAGCAAATTGAAACTGTGTCAGTCCAGTCCAGTCAAAGTTGACGATCAGTTTAGTTCAGTTCAGAGGTCATTTTTACTGCTGAAAGTCCAAACACTGAAGAGCAAATCCATCAATGCGCAGCTCTACAAGTCCTAAAAGTTCCAAAACCATGCAAGCTAGTGGCGACAGTTTATGCTAATGAGCTGAGGATCTGAATCAGGTGTGTTTGGTTAAGGAGACATGGAAAATGTGCAGAGCTGGTGGTCCTCCAGGAACATGGTTGAGAAACACTGATCTAAAGAACCAATATGAATGTAAGATCTCTTTTGTGGAAATATTCAGTCGATGTTAAGTGTTCTTCACTGTAGCCCTTTATTATTAAAGGTGTACATTAGCATTTACATTTCCATGCATCCTCTGTCCATTAATGTGTGATGCTGGCGATCCTCTTCAGCTTCGCTTTGACCTGCGTTCTCATGTGTGCTGTTTTGATGGTTGTTTTTTCACTCTTCTCCTGTCCTGCATGCGGATGTCTGTGTGTTTCTGGTGTTGTTTCTGCTGAGGTTAATCTGGCATGTTCTCTCCTCCTGTCCCGTGTCCAGGACCCTGCAGTGGGACTCTGACCCCTCTGTTCTCCAGCTGCAGGCTGACTCTGAGCTCGGGTATCTGCTCCTCTCTGTCTCTGTCCTTCTCTCTGTTCGACCAGCTGTTATCCGCATATTCATTCACACCTGTGTCTATGTTTGACTGCATTTTGTTTCTCATTTAGTCAAGGGTTAAACTGTGAATTCCTGAATTTGAACTGAGCAAAACTAATTCATTGATGAAAATGGCAATAAAATGAATTGTTCTACTGGTTGAGAGGATTTGCAGATTAAATTTTAAAATTGTTACAGCTTAAATACACTGTGTTTGAGAAATAGTACAATAATTCTTCTATAATAAACAGCCCTAATATACACTCACCGGCCACTTTATTAGGTCCAACAGCTCGTTAACGCAAAATTCTGATCAGCCAATCACATGGCAGCAACTCAATGCATTTAGGCATGTAGACATGGTCAAGACGATCTGCTTCAGTTCAAACCAAGCATCAAAATGGGGAGGAAAGGTGATTTAAGTCACTTTGAACGTGGCATAGTTGTTAGGGCCAGACAGGCTGGTCTGAGTATTTCAGAAACTGCTAATCTACAGGGATTTTCACGCACAACCATCTCTGGGGTTTACAGAGAATAGTCTGAAAGAGAGAAAATATCCAGTGAGTGGCAGTTCTGTGGAAAAAAATGCCTTGTTGATGCCAGTGGTCAGAGGAGAATGCCCAGACTGGTTCAAGCTGATAGAAAGGCAAAAGTAACTCAAATAACCACTCGTTACAACCAAGGTCTGGAAGAGAAGAGCATCTCTGAACGCACAATACGTCCAACCTTGAGGCAGATGGGCTACAGCAGCAAAAGGCCTCACCGGGTGCCTCTCCCGTCAGCTAAGAACAGGAAACTGAGGCTACAATTCCGGTACTAGTAAGGTGTACCTAATAAAGTGGCCAGTGAGTTTAGAGACGTATTTTCACAAACATAATAATTTAAACTTTGAGTTCAACATTCAAAGAATGGCATTTTTATTGCACAAAATATCATTAATAAAAGAGTTTATACATTTTTTTATTTGTAAAAAATACAGAATATGTACATTATAATGTGGTTTATAGTAAATGTACACTCATAATGAACACAATTAATATGAAATATGAATGCAATTTAAAATGAGTAGAACATCAATTGTTTTGAAAACGAATTCGTTTGTTACAGTACATTATTAAAGTCAATTTAATGAATCATAAGCAATTTTTTTCTTTTACAAATTTTCTGAAACCTTTGAACAGCAGTGTATATACTCCATCGTATTTAATAGAAAAGTTCTGTGTTTCAGCTCACTATGAAACATTTGATTCTAATTGTTCAATCAGGGTCTTTAAATCCGTTAACATTTTTGTATATAATAATAATATTATTGTCTAGTTCCACTGTGTTCCAGGGTCCATTTTAATGTCTAATTTATTTCTTTTTACATGAATGACCATATCTGTAATCCACATGCTTTTTGTTCCACAGCGTTTCCCATGTTCCTCCATCATTCTCCTTCTACTTCACTCTTTCTATCTCAATCCACTTTGCTTTTAAGTCTGCCTTCAAGTGTTTTCAGCTGTTTTTTCTCCAGCTGTGTGTGACAGTGATTGATGCTCCATACCATGTACTGAAAACACTTTAAACGTTCATTCTAGACGTCAAACGAGGGTCAGACCTGAATAATGAACCCTAACTGCATATTTTGTCACTGTGATACAAGTTTGCATTGCTTTATGTGTTTTAAAAGGGACCTATTATGCAAGATGTAAAATAAGTCTCTAGAGCAGAGATGCCCAAACTAGGGCCCGCAGGCCAAAGTTGGCTCATGGTAGCATTTGATTTGGCCCACCATCCAATCAGAGAAGAGTGTGGGGCAAATGCCTTAAACCAGGGGTGTCCACACTCGGTCCTGGAGGGCCAGTGTCCTGGAGAGTTTAGCTCCAACCCTAATCAAACACTCCTGAACAAGCTAATCAAGCTCTTACTAGGTATACTAGAAACTTCCAGGCAGGTGTGTTGAAGCAAGTTAGAGCTAAAGTCAGCAGGACAACAGCCCTCCAGGACCGACTTTGGACACCCCTGCCTTAAACTAAGGCCGTGATTTCAAATACAACACATAACCTTTTTTGATTGCTTTATTTTATAGCTGAGCTACAAAATAGCAATCTAATGTTTTAATTAAATGTAAATTAATCGGATTTTTGTAAATACTGTCAATATATGGACAGACAACAATGGCGAAGACATCAGCGAGACATCAAATCAAGGCAAAAACTGCTGCAGCTTGACTCGTTTATTTGGCATTAAACTCCATTCTGTTATAAACGGAATTGGTTTTGTTTTGTTATACCTTTATTCTAAATAAGCTGCATTAGTTAATATAAAGCAATGATTTCTAGTTATTTATTAAATAATATTAAATTACTCATGGCAATTCTTACATAATACAATTTGGAATATTTACCTTCGGCCTACAGGCCTCAGTCAAGTTTAGTTTTCGGCCCTTGGCAACCCTGCTCTAGAGTGTGTATGTGAAGTTTCAGCTCAAAGTAATGTTTTATAACTCTTTGAATTTTTGATCCAAAGTGTGGCATTGTGGCAAATTTAAATGAGATTTTTTAAAATTAAGCTTAAAATCCCAATGCATTAGTAATCGGTTGTTTTCACAGGACGTCATTGATGACGCGTGAAATTCAGATGTAGGGCAGGAAGTGATTTTTCTACATAGGAATCGCTATCAGAACATCAAAATGTTTGTGTTTTATGGTGTTTATAATGCCAAAATAAGAAATGCCGAACAGCTTTATAGTCTTCCAAAAGTTTTTGCTCATAAAGGGAATAAAGTTCAATAAATTGACAAAAAACTGAAAAAAGGGTGACATGTAATAAACATTTTTTCAATACATCCATGTGTAAAATTTTTTTTAAACGAGATAATTTTGACAGCACTGATAAAGATTATATACAGGCCTAGCTATGTCTATAAATACGTTAATGTGTCGTATAAAAAGATACAAAAAATATAAAAAGAGACAAACACCACCACACAAACAAACCCTGTCATGTGATCGCTGCAATGAGATCTCCATCTTGTTTTACAATAATCCAAGTCTGGCCTTTAGGCAGAATAAACAACCGTACCGTTAATATTGAGATGTGCAACAGCGGTGAATGTTGGTTGATGGTTAAGTTCATCGACAGAACAAAAAAGAAATGCAACCCTTATGACAGAACCAGACGGTTATTATTGTGCAAATGATGGCTGTTAAATTACAGACATTTACTGGAAAATAACAGACGTTTAATTACAGAAATTTACCGTAAAATAACAGACGTTTAATTACAGAAATTTCCTTACATTTAAATTTCCTGTAAACTTTTAACGTCTTTTATTTTATGGTACATTCCTGTAATTTAACAGCCATTATTTTATGTTTTTTTCCAGCACCCCAGCTAATAATATATAAATATGTATTTATAAAATAATGGATTTTTTTGTGTAGTATAGTAAACTATTAAACTGTAATAAATACTTTACGTTATTGTAAACTGTGGTGCATTGTGATGGTGTATAATTATAGCGTAGAAAACCGAAGCCTATTGAATAATTTATTACGACAGTTGTGATGTATCACAGCAACAATATAATTACTTTGACAGTTTAATTATCTATAGAAACACGACAATATTTACCATAGTATTTCTTTATGTAACGTAATAGCTAATCTACCACCGCGATGACAGACAAATATTGTTTAGTAGAATACTCTTCATGATATAAGGCTCTTGCTCCACATATGTGGTTATTTTCTATTTATATCTCCTTTGAAATATGGTAAAAATCGTGAAAACACGGACTTTCCTCCGTGTCTCCCATTCAGTTTTTGACTTCCTGCCCTTCATCTGAATGTCGCACGTCACCAGAACCACGTGATTGCAAACAACCTATACAGCAGATTCAAAACAGCTGCTTCTCACTCAGGGCTGTCTATGCTAATGAGGAAGAAATCATCACTAATGGGCGGGGCTTTCCCCCTTTTCCTATAACATGTACAAGGGAATGTCAATCAGAGTGTTTCTGCAGACTCTTTTCATCAAATGTGATTATAAAAAATAGATTTAATAAGTGTCCATTAGAAGCTGGATGTATTCACACACTGTAGCCACACTAGTAAAACACAGATAATATTTTTTTTGCATAATAGGTTTCCTTTAATATGCATGCAAGTGTGTGCAAAAACCTGTTAGATTGCAGGATATTCCCATATTGTATTTCTCTCTCTCCGCAGACGCCGGTCACACAGATTGGGACCTTCTAAAATTACTCAGGTGGACTTCTTGCCCAGAGAAGTGGTTTCCTACTGTAAAGAGACTCAGACACCGAACGCCGCTCATCACTCTGAAGGTAGAAGCTTAGAGGAATCTGCACTTTGCACATTATGGTGTGGAGAATGCAGCGTTCAAACTGTACTGCAGTTAGGATGGTGCAAAAACTGCTGACCTTTTGGTTCACTAGCTGTGTGAGCATTCCCTGCTAAAAAAAATCCTGCTTAAACCAGCCTAAGCTGGTTGGCTGGTTTTAGCTGGTTGACCAGGCTGGATTTAGAGGGGTTTTGGCCATTTCCAGGCTGGTTTCCAGCCATTTCCAGCCTGGTCTTAGCTGGTCAGGCTGGAAAAAGACCACCTAAAACCAACTAATACTAGCTTGATCAGTCTGGTTTAAGCTGGACACAGCTGGTTTTGGCTGGCCTCCCAGACTGGTTAGGCAGGTCAAGCTGGTTTTAGCTGGTCATCTCCCAGCCTGACCAGCTAAGACCAGGCTGGAAATGGCTGGATTTCAGCCTGGAAATGGCCAAAACCCCTCTAAAACTAGCCTGGTCAACCAGGTAAAACCAGCCAACCAGCTTAGGCTGGTTTAAGCTGGATTTTTCAGCAGGGTTTTCAAGGTGTCCGATGGGTGCTTAAAAAAGTTGATAAATCACTTTGCAGAAATTTAAGGCCCTTAAAACGTATTCAAAGTTCTCAAATGCTATGCTACAAGGTATAAAATTGTGTATCAAATGTGTTTGAATTCAGTCTGCTGTGTAGTTAATGAAGTCGATTACATCCTGCTAGATTTGACATCACGCTACTTTGGTTACTGCTGTTGTATTGGCGCCACCTAATGGAAGAGAGTGAATTAGCTTTTTTATTCAATGTATGAATAATATTTTAGTTGAGAGGATGTTATAACATAATTTAATTTCACTTTTTTTTACATCATCATTTTTAATGATTCAGTCTTTTTTAGATCACTATCTACTAATGTATG